TGGAAAGGGGAGGGCTCTTCCATTTAAGGAAATTGGGGATTCTTTGGAGGCCACATTTAGCTCAAAGCTTGCCTCCCATGTCCATGACCAGCCGAGAGCAATGGAGACACATTTAAAGAATCAGGAGACCATCTCAGCAAGAGCCAGGGCTGTAGATCACTGAACTTGAATCTTTTCCTGATTGAGAATTTTTCACTTCATCTCTCTAATGTCAGCATTTTTACTCACCTATTCTGGTAAAACAAGTGGTTGTTTCTAAAATCTGTTCCCATGTATTAGTTTAATTAATGAAGGGAGTGTTTCCCAGCTTCACTATTCTCTAGTTGTACAGAATCATATACAACTATAGTTTAGTCCATGTCCCTGTGGAGAAAAAATTAAAGTTCAACCAAAGATGTGTCCACTGCAGCAAACAACAATGGGAGGAAGACATTTAGAGACCTGGCCACAATTTAGACCTGTCCCTTTATCAGCCGCTGCTCTGACCAATGGGGTAGGTGACATCTAGTGGCATCAAAGGCGGACTTGCCTCATCCCTTCAGATGGAAGGTGGCTGAATTCTATTCTCTCCAAGATCACTTAAGGAACCTGCCATTTCAGCCACATTGTCCCCATATTAGGACCCTTAATGGGGTCCTAATGTGAGAGAAACAATGCTAATACATTCTGTTTATCTTTAACACAACTCTACACCCGAGGGGGGTGGGGAGGACAGAGTCTATGTCTTTCGTCTTTCTTTTTGCTTTTAAAAATGTGTGAGTTGGAAAGTTTCCAAAGAGAAAGAGATATTAAAGCTGCTGACATTATCTTGCCAACCAAAGCACCCTGTCCACGGGGTCATGCGTAGGAGAGAGAAGGACCTTTAATGGAGAGGTGTCTTTGGACACCCACCATAGTTTGTCAGTTTGCAGATGCTAATGGAGCCAGGCTTGGTGACTGAAGGGGAAAATGGAATATGAAAGCAAAATGAAAGAGGCCCTTGAAGCAAGCATGTCATTTCTAAATGAAGGTTTCATGCAAAGGGATTGAGTCTTTTTACAGCTGCAAATGGGATTTTTAAATAAGATGAAATAAAAGGACACTTTGGCTCCTTGCAGGTTCTGTAATGAAATACAGTTTTCCTAATACCGTGGGACCCGCGTTTCTCCCTGTTTCACGGTGCTATTCCTTGACGTACACACCCGTATTTTCTCAAGTCAGCATTTGATGATGGATGTCAAAATACAGGCCATGTATTATGCATATAGCATTGCCGATTTAAGGTGTTTACTTGTCAAGTTGGAGAAATTCAGAAACGTCACATCCACTGAATCTGCGCAGCTGTCACTTGCAGTTTTTCACGCTTTTGAACGAAACTTCTGATGAAAACAGTTTAGTTTCTCCTTCACTATTCTGGGGCAAGAAAACAGCTAGCATTCCACATGCATGTTCTTGGTTATGTGGTTGGCTGAGACACACACATTCCAAAGTTCAGAAAGGTGGACACTATGCTGTCATTGAAAATTACTTACCCTGTACATAGTATGTCAATATAAAGAATAAAATTAAGTGCAATCAGGGAATGAAAAGTAAATTAAACTTTCATCTTTCTGAAAGTATGGCATTCAATAGCATGAAATTTATATATGGAAGACAAAAAAGAGGAAACATTTTTATCTTCTCCTGGCATTTCGTGCATCATGCTCCTCACAAACAGGCAATTACTGAGCACCTGTCATTTCCTTCCTGAGAGGGATTCGCACACAGCATCATGCCAGAGTCAAGCCCATCTTCTCACATTACTGCAGAGTAAGTGGGGAGACTGGTCACACAATCTGCTCAGAATTTTGTCCTTGGAAACTGAACAAGTGACTTTGTATCTGTAAATCCCTAATTCATTGATGAGCCCACATAGCAGTCCTTCAAAGGCAAAGAAGAAAACCCAGAGTGAACGTGTCTGCCTGTCCTCTAAGGTAGAGGAGTGGACGGGGCCTGCGGCCGGCACAGAGCTGATGTACCACTTGCCACGTGCTTCACTTGGTTAAATGAATGTTCACTGTATGAATGTGTGAGGTAAATTAATGTCTCATGTTCATGTGTATCTGTGCACATCCTTAAAGAGGCAGCCATTCAGCCTAGCTGGGATGACTTCTCACCCTCACTAATCTTGAAGTTATGGCTGGGTTAAGCTCATCCTAATATGCACTTGGGATTTGGGTCTGAGGCCCAAAGAAACCCAGACCACAAAAATCATACACCAAGTAGGCTACTTTCCAGTTCACTGTGCCCACTTCCGTGTTAGGAGGTCTGTGTTAGGCACACTGGGGATGCACGGGTCCACTCTGAGCTAGCGGCATATGCATCAGTCAGGATGATTTTAGTTGCAAGTATAAAAACAAAAACCAACTAATTTTAAAAAGCAACTAATTTTGGCTTAAACAAAAGGTATATATATTATATGCATATAAGTATATTCATATATATAAGTACATAAAACCATCCTACCTCAGGATTTCTTCCTACAGGAGATTTCATATATAGATATCTAGATATGTAGATATGTATATAGTTTATATATAATTTATATAATATTTATATATGTAATTTACTTATATAAAATTATATAAAATCTTATTATATATAGAGGCCCGGTGCACAAAAATTTGTGCACTCGGCGGGAGGGGGGGTCCCTCAGCCCGGCCTGTGCCCTCTCGCAGTCTGGGACCCCTCGGGAGATAACGGCCTGCTGGCTTAGGCCTGCTCCCGGGTGGCAGAGGGCAGGCCCACACCCTAGC